GGGAAGGGGGGAAATCAGACTTGGGAGATGTTTTTTCTTTTAAGAAGATTAGACCAAACACCTGGCACCTCAAACGCCACCCACCCACCTGTTTAAAAAGGTAAAATTTTAAAAAGTACAGATTGAGTCCTAGACAACATTCATCTTCCCTCCAAAATTAAGCAAATTAACTCATTGCCAGTCTGTCTCTACATCTCCAGCCCCTCACATTTTATTCAGATTTGTTCATTCATCTATTCTTCACCCTATAAAATATCCCAAATTTCTTCTTTCAGTGCTTTCAGTCCCAACACTAACTTCCTCCAGCTGAAAAGGGCAGCATGCTGCCCCCTCTACAAACCCACAGAGTTGCTACCTTGAAAACTGCTTCTGCTCCAGTGCAGGAGCAAGAGGCCTGCACTCTTCTAAAGACCGCGTGCCTGGTCTCCGTAGCAGTCCTTGCCTGGGAGCAAAGGTGCCCAGCAATGCCACTCAATCACTACCATTATACTCCTTCTAAATGTGCCTCTCCTTGTCTCCCCTTGGCTTGTATCTTCCTTCCCTCATTTCTTTCTTGGTCCACTTCTCATTGCACTTCAATTCCTGGATGCGTTTTCCCCTATAAAGGGTAGATGGGTTTCCATAATGAAAGGGTTTGCCTGTGCCACAGCTTACTGAGACTGTACAAATTGTAGTTAGTGCTGGTGGTTACAAATGAATGAACCTGAAAATATTGAACAGTGATGTAGCACAAGCACAAGTCTCTGTCGGGAAGCTACACACACACGCGCTACTCAACGCGTCTGGATATCTAACAAAAGTCAGATACCAGTTGAGAGACAAAATACACACTGAGTGTCAAGTGTCGCTGTGCATCCTACAGACAGAGGAGACTCATAGGTAGGCCTCAATCTTACCTCTCTGGGTTTCAATAGTTTAAGGTTCAAACTATTTTATGCTTTTTAAAGAAACCATATCCACGATTTGACATTCTACCTCTGGGATGAAAAGTTGTATTCTTTTACAGGAAGGCCTGAAGGCATACTTTTTTTTTTTTTAAAACACTAGGGGTGCATCAATAAAGATTTTCTTGGCCAATATTGATAGCCAATTATTCACCAGGCATATCTGCCGATACCAATCTAAAAGCCGATTTACAGGAATGCAGCCTGGCAGTGCCTTGCAGGTAAGTCTAAGGAGGGGAAAGGGCGTGGGGGGGATAGATCGAGGCCCCCATTGGGAGGGAGGGAGGGAGCAAGGCAGGTGCAGTAGTTAGCACTGCCCAGCCAAGGCGGAGAATGGGACTCCCCCGGGGCCAGGAGCAGAATAGAGCCACAGGCGTTCTATCCTGCTCTCAGCCCTGGGCAGGGAGGGGTCCCACTTACTGCCCTGACTGGACAGCGACTGCCCCTGCCCCACACTCTCCCTCTCACTGTGGGGGCCTTGATCTACACCCCCCCCACATACACACACCCCTTCCACTCCACAGACTTACCTGCAGGGTGCTGCTCTCCAACCTGTCAGGCTGCATTCTTGGCCATGTGCATGCACGCAGCTGCGCACAAGCACATGGCAGTCAATCAATCAGTGACATTATCAGCTACACCGGCCAAAAAAAGCCGATAGCCAATAATGTTAATTTTCCTTTTATCAGTGCCAATCTGATATGCGACCGAGATATCAGTGGACCTCTACTTTATTTATCACAGCACTATGATCTAGCTTTTATATTTTGCTTTAAGAAAGCACCCAGTTGTCAGTGTTTCTTCTAGATGTACATGTACATAGTAAACACTGATTCCAAACTGATTCCTTGTTTCGTATTAACAAGGGGTAGAACTAGTTCAATGAGTGAAGTTGAACTTCTATATAAATGCCCTTTTAAAAAAGGAAGTCAATTTTAGGATTATGAAAGAGAAAAGCTCATTGTCTACTAGGCTTGAGGCAAAGCCTAGTAGACACTCTTTACTTGCAACTGAAAGAATGAGCAGAGCTTAAGTAGATGGGTAAAGGCCCATTCCTGGAACATGAAAGTCTTACTCAGTGCCTCATATGCTATTTCTGACAAGAAGCAGCTTTAAAATAAAGTTATTTTTAAACCACTACTTCTACAGTTTTATTAACCTAGTTTTGAACCTGCAGAAATGTAGAATAAGTTTGTTCTTTTGACCAGTCCCTGAGGATAGACAATTCATTTAATAGTGTTTGCCAAGGGGAAAATTTTACTGTGTCAGTCACTGTATACCTCTACTTAAAGTCAGTGTCAAGGGCAACTATTCTGTTATGTTCCTTTACATGGATATGCAATTTCTGTTAACATGCACAAAACTATCAAGCACGTTCCTTTCATTTATGACATCACCTCATTTTACCTAAGAAGGAAACCAAAGATGGAATATGGGACATCGGGCAAGATTCTCTCTCCCATTTTCACAAAAAGACAATCCACTTGCTACTTCTTCTCAGACAGGCAATTTAAACCAAAACCCAAGATTGGTAGAACTGAGGAAAAAAACCCACCCCTCCAGCTCAGTAGGCACTGCCACCTGACATACTTAAGTTATGACACCTAGGACCTGTGCTAACAGGCAATCAAATCTCACATGAGCACACCTCAAGACTCAGAGACTGGCACAGCTGCTCTATGTCTCAGCACACAAAACAAGGTGCTTTAACATGGACAAGTGCCACTTACCACCGCAGCAAACGGCCCACCATTTATACAAGGAATGTGAGGGACTACCCGGAGCTACAATGAATGAGCCACAGGGTCTTTTCTTACTAAATTTAAGACCCATACCCAGAATATGAAAGTCATTCAACTATCTGCAACATACTTAAGGATGCTAGCTTTTTGCTGACACTGATAACAGCTCTTATTGCAAGGACATCACGCAGGCTTACAGAAAGAGAAAACTGTTTCCAAGGACAAGAATGTAATGGCTTTCAATATCTTTAGGATTTGGCAACTGGAACAAGATAATCCATATTTTCTTAAAAAGAATTCTTTCATTATATTCCAAACACTGGTTATGCTCCTTGTTTTGTGGTATATAAAAGGAAAGACATACAGAAATTGTCCAGCTAATCCCTTACACTCACTCCTTCAATTCAGAGCTAGTTGGAAAGTCTTGTGCTGATTTTGGAAACATCCATAAAAAATGAGTACTACAACAATGCTTCCAATTTATAAATGAATACTGAGCTTTTGCTTGGATAGTTTATTAGCAACAGCTCCATTTCACGAGTTTCTCCCTATAGATTTAAATTGTTACTAACTTGGTCATAAAAATCACATGCAGCCAGTGGAATAAAATTCAGTTGTGTTGCTTTTTTGTATTTGAAAGGTAAACAGGTATAAAACGGGGTGCTCAACCTCCAGCCCAAATGTGGTCTGCAGAGCCTTAGAATCTGGCCTGCGGGGCTCCCCACAAGTTGAGAAGTTTGGCAGCACAGGAGCTGTTACATTCAATACAGCCCCTGCCAAATTCCAAAAGCCCAAAGCCCTGCACAGCAGGTTGGGGCTGGGCCATGCCCTGCCCCTCCACCCTGTTCTCCACCCCCTTGCGGTTAGATCAAGGCTCTCTCCCCTCCCACAGCTGGCTCAGGACTGGGACTGGACCATGCCCCCTACCCTCTCCCATTGCTCCGCATGGCTGGATGGGGTTCTACTGCCACTGCCCCAAATACTGGATCAGGACCACCAGCTGGATCCAGGCTGCAGACAGACTGGGCACTAGCCATCCAGTCAACCAGCCAAAAAGACTGAGCACCACTGATGTAAAACAACCAAGCAGACAGACGCATAAGAATAGCTTAATTTTATTTTTTTTAAAGCAATTCAAATAGCTTCAAGGAAATGTTATTTCAAACGTGCTATTCCATAATTATAAGATAAAAATGTGACCAACCTGCCCAACATTGTATTAGGCTGTGCAGTAAAGATGGAAGGGTCTACAACAAATCTCGTGTTGTCCACTATAAGCGTTACTCGTTCAGAGGTCCGTACATTCCGAGCTCCCTCTTTTCCATTCTCATATACAAATACCATTTCCCCACCAATCTTGCAGCTCCCATCTGAACTTGACTGGCTACTGTTTCTGCTGCTGTTCCCAACACTGGAACCATTTGGGGAGGTCTTCTGAGGGCGAGGACTGCTTGGTCGAGACGAACTGTGATCCTTTTCACGATCTAATAGACAATGAAAATCAAAAGAAAAGGCAAAGGCAGAGTTCTAGGTTATCTTATATCAGAGACAAAAAGATGAATGAAAAAAAACACAAGTTATCAGTTTGGCAATGCACCCAAATCTTGTTCTATCTGCAACTAATCATTCTACTTAATGTTCCAATTATTATAGGTTTCTTTATTTTAATGCATTTATTTGTTTACTGAAGATGGCACCCTCTGTTCCAGCAACTTGGAAAGAAACTACGTATTCTTCTCAAAAAGTTGCAAACATTCAGTATGTATGGGAAAAGACGCTACAGGCCAGACACACTAGCTGGTGTTTCTTTCTGGATTGTATGTGCATTTACGCGTGTACGTATTTTATACAGCACTGCTTCATCTACAAGGTTGAGAATGATTTCAGAGCTTACATTTTAATCCTTTTTTCTGGTAAAGCTGTAATCAGTTCTGCTTCAACTGATAAAACAACTCATTTCTGTATGATATCAGATTTTGTTTATAAACAGTAAATTACAGTTAAATGGAGAACTTACGACCAGCAGAGAGAAAGTGGTGGTAGCAGAAGGAATGCTGTAAGTTTCCCCCTGAGATGCGTTGTATTTAAAAATGCTGGTAAGAGGCTTTTAGATACAGCCCAGTAAGGGTAGAAAGTATTTTTTTTTTTTTTTTTTTTTTTTTTTT